CATTACACCTGGCCAAGCATCAGGATAACTATCACGCTCATGCGAAAGAAAGAACCGAACGATATTATTGTCGTCTTGTCCAGTGAGAGTCGAGTTTCTTTTCTCCTTCAAACTGTATCTGTCTTTCCCGCACACACGCTTCTTCTGTGTTCCCACCTGGACTCATCCTTGTGTCGTGGATGCCTGGTGGACGGCCAACAGTGTTCTAGTGTGACCCGCCGGTCTACGGTCTTGTCGGCCTACTAAGTACGACTAGTACTAGTACTACTACCGTACAAGTATCGTCGAGTGTGGCACGGTGAAGTCCCAGCGAATTAGCCATGGAGAACGGTGTCGACTTGGAGCAGCTCGATGAGGTCGAGCTGGGACAAAAGGTAAGCAGCGCCCCATCCAGACGTTCTGATGCTTGACCGTTGACGGCTCTAACTAAAAGTCTAAGCTAAGCCGTACCATGTACCCAAAGTATGCGCGTAATGCTAGCGTTATTCTTGGGCATGCATAAATGATAAAGCAGGCCTGGAAATTGAGTGGCCGAGGCCAGGGATAGCGACTGCCCACCGCCACCAGCTAGCCAAAGAGGAAGTGACGCTAATGGGGCACGCTGTGTGTGCGCAGAAAGCGAAAAGCGGCGTGCTCCAAAGTTACCTGGTGGCGCATGATGCTCTTGCCTGGCTGGTGTCAAGCAAGGAACTTCTGTTTCTTACTATGGCCATCGGCATCGCTTGATTTGGAAATTGTGTGACTAAAACCTCGCAGGGACCTTTTCAGATCCACATGTGATAGCGTACGGCACGCCAAAGTAGCTGGCTGAAACAGGCGTTTGACTTTGCTAGTTAGCTGCTGGAAAGCTGAATGCTGCTGCTAGTATACACAGGCGTTGCCGAATCAATTTCGTGTCCGCATCCGTCTGATAATACTGCTCTCCATTACTGCTGTCTGACCTTTCTAGCTCGACGAGGCTGGTTCGTACGAGGAGCGCAGGAAGATTCGAGCAGCCTTACGTCGCTTGCGCAAGAGCAGTGCGAACTCTTCGTCTCAACTGGAGCAAGCGCCTGACTCCTCCACCAGTGCCGACGCGTACACGCCATCTCCACAGTCGACCTACAAACGACAAGGCTACCAGGTGCAGAAGGATCCACCGCTGCACTACGGAGTCCGCCACTGGGAGAGCGTCAGTGTCGCTCCAGCGCTAGCCAGAAGGGCGAGCAAGAGCGAGCAGGGCTTTCAGGCGGTTGAAAATCCAGCAGTAGTGTCGACAGCACGGTCTTCCAAATCATCTTCAAGCTCCGCGGACACGAGCAGACGCGGGAAGAAAGACATAGTGGACGACACCGCAGAAGCAGCGCAGCAGGTGGAGCCTGCGGATGCCATGGAGCAGGACTATGGAAGCACGCAGACCGCTGCCAGAACGAGCTCCAGCAATGATGAATCAGAGAGGACGGATGGCGGACGAAGCAATCGCAGCGCCGAGCAGCCGGAGAGTGGTGCAGAGAGTGGCTATCGCTCAGAAAGCCGCATGAGCACCACCTCGTTCAGAAGCGAGGGCGGCGAGTCCGTGCATAGCTTGGACAGCGTCCAATCCGACTTGGAACTCGAGGAGACACTACAGAAGGAGGTAAGAGGACTCACTTCTTGTAATCGACGACGACGCTCTCACTGTTGGTTTGTTATGCGAAAAGATAGAGGTACAGTACATGTAGTGACAGTAATCGTTCCAATTATTTTCTAAATCCGTAAGGACTCTAAATCTGATCACCATATCCCCCCAATTTGATAATAATCATTACGACTTCCTCCCAGTGCAATGCCCTCCCAACCTCAATCGGCTGGATAGGGTCGTGTCACAGGCGGATTAGAAGCCTTTGAAGTCGCTTTCCACACACACAAACACACACCCATACACATAACACACACACACACACACGCATGCGCGCACGCACACACGCACACACGAGCGCACACACACACACACACACTAGAAACTCCAAGAGCATTTCCGCACCCTACCCAAGAGAGGACCTTGCGATGAATTTCTTTGCGACATGCCGCTTACCCCAGGAACACGTAGCTGCTGCTCTGTAGTCATGCGAGGATGTGGTTCTGCAATATCCTTGCCTCTGGGATACCACTTGCTTCATGTTACATCACACAAACATAGCGATGTACCAGAGGATGTGTATCTTGGTGGACAGAACACGACGCAAGCTAAGACTTAAAGTAAACGACTGAGCAATCACAAAATATCTGGCGACTTGCAGCAAGTTGTTAACTACAAGTAATGATAAGTTGTGACTCAGAGTGTTTTGTGCTGTATGGTCTCCATACAGCAACAGGCCGGATGTGCTTGCTGTACTATTTACACCTGGTGTGAATGCCACACGCTTGGCCTTATTTGGTAGCTTTCATAAGTTTGTATAGCATTTGGCGCAATGTGCTTCAATTAGTAGTTTTCACAAGTGTTGCGCATAGCATTTGGGGTGATGTGCCGTTCGCCACGTACCTTCGTATCCGCTGGCGAGTATCAGTCTAAACTGCGGTCAAAGGTATCAACGAAGCACATGCCGGTACTCATTCTATGATAGAACATGCATTGACAGTATAGTGAGGTTTTCAAAAACCTGAAAAGGGCCGGGAGATGTGCCCTTCCCTTTCTGTGTAAAACCTCATCAAAACATACAAGCTGTAAAGATATGCCGTGGGCTTATCTCGGGTGTGCCTCGACTCAGCCGCCGATGATTAGTGCATTCCAACATGCAATCCATGGCAAGACTGGGAATGATATTAGATGCTGTCAAGTTTCACAATGGGAGCCATTCTGCCTCAGCTTATCAGTCTGATAACAGGGAAAGTGACACCTGGGATGGGGGGGGGGGGGGGGTAGGTACTATGTGCATGGGCTCAATGCAACCTCGCCATGAGCCGCGGAGGACAAAGTTCCATTGAGCCGCATGATAGTCACAACATGTCCGTTTCATCACCCTCGAACTTATGAAGGGCTATAACTGATATTTCCTGGGGTAACAAATCAGTCTAATATATTAGCTCTCACTTTACTTCTATTGTCTCACCTTCCCTCATTCTATTTTTAGCACTTTGTTTTGTTCTCGTAACACATTATTGAATGTATATAAATTATTGATTTGGCATGGTTATTCTTCAGTCACGGCTTTCCACTGATGATTGTGACAAGAAAATCGATTTTGGTAAACCTTCATGACTTTGTTGTAGTGTGGCGATGACAGCAGAATTTGTTCTCTTTATAGCTATTATAAAATTGTTGTCTCCGCGTCGATTATCTAATATATATTCCTGTAATTGTTGGCATGTTGGCGTAAGCTTACATTACAGTGTGATGCCAAGCAACTTACGTTTACAAGAAGAAAAGGATTTTGAGGAAAAGGGCTATTCCTCAGGCATAAATTATGCAATAAGCATCCATCAACGATCATCAATCAGTACTGGGCTCTATTACGATACAGTAATGAATAACTTGTGCCCCAGTATTTAGTTTCCTCTAAATTCTTTTTGTCTTTGGCTCGCCATCTGAGTTCAAAAGGACTTTGGGGTGGACAAATACCGGTTTAGTCACACAGTGCCTTTTCAGCCTTTCTGTCAGGTCAAGCCAAGTCAAGTCATGAGTGCGGACAGATTCAGACGCACCAGTTCATCAACATGACCATGCCTATGGTGTGTGGTCTGTGATGTGTGTGTGTCACATGACCATGCCTATGGTGTGTGATCTGTGATGTGTGTGTCACATGACCATGCCTATGGTGTGTGATCTGTGATGTGTGTGTCACATGACTATGTCTAGTTATGGTGTGTGATCTGTGATGTGTGTGTGCATATGCCCTTGTGTTGGTGGTTAGATCGAGGCGTCACAGGACTATGACGAGCGGAAGAAGCTGCGAGCACGTCTGAGACACGTCCAACAGCGTCGAATGAGCAAGTGTGAGTACATGTACCTGATTGTGTTCACTACTGTTTAGCAACAGTTGTGGCCGAAGAAATCTGACCCATGAGCCAAACGCAGCGCCAAGGCTCGTGCAGCCCCTGATGCCCTTGTTTTTGGACCTTGCACGATGTAATTGAAATGAAAACGCGGCGCTGCTTTTGACTCGTAGGTTGGATTTCTTTTCTTCAGGGGCGCCCGCCAGAAGGTATTATAGTGTGGTATACGGTCAGCCATGTGAAGTACAATGTACTCGTGGGGGAGGGGTTGCTGAGGCGAAAACTTTGGGAATTTAGAGCCCAGATCAGTGTATTTTATTGATTCACAGGGTGCCTCAGAACTAAATATTGGTTGTGATGAGTTGGGAACACAGGGTGCCTGAGACAAAAAGTGGTACGGTCAATACCATAGTGACCGTAGCGTGTCCGACACCCCTGACTATAGAAGCATGCTAAGAACTTGATGTAGCAGCATAGTACCATAGATCCGCAGACTGTCTCACAGTTTGTCCCAGTGCCGTGAGTGGACTGGCGATGATACCTTGAAGGCTTGAAGCATTTTGACTTGCAGTCATATTGCTCGGAGTATGGACCTGAGTGTTTTGAAGCGAAATGAATAAATAGATAGGATCACAGATCTTTGTATGGGTCTTTTGTGGCCCTTATACCTCCAGATAATATTATAATAATGTATCCTGAAGTTTGTTGTTCCAACGAGGAACATACACCTCTTGCCGAACTTGACTCTTTGACGTGCTCCTCGTGTGCTCCGGTTGGCAGTCGTGAGTTGGTCAAGTGTCAAGTTCGGCAAGAAGCGTGTGTTCCTCGTTGGAACAACCAACTTCATGACTAATACCGCCGAAGTTGCAACTTCAAGTGTATAATACATATCATTGAAACAACATTTCCCTGTACCTTTCAAGATAATGAGGTGCCAAGGATTTGTACAAGTGCACCGAGGTTACCGTCTAGTTCAGCAGAAAAGGAACTGAGTGGAAACGCATCAATACACACTAGGTATCACGTGTCACAATCTGCATTCGTGATGC